GACCTATGTGCATTCTCTGGCATTTTAGTGCCTCTTTTATGCTGGAGTCCTCTGCGGGGAATTTTGCACTGCTTTCACAAGAAGCCTTGGAAGGGGCAATAAACCCTCTGTTTTCTTTTCAGCAGGTTAAGCATGGTGGTGCTCACGCAGCAGATGTAAGGGCAGGTTCCTGCAGAGGAGCAGAGCGCGTGGTGTGCTTGTGGGGCTTGGCCTGGTGTACGCACAGAAGAAGCCAGGCAGCCACATCCAACTATGGGTGATGAGCATGTGTGGTGGACACCCAGCTCTATCAAAGCAATTGTTGGGGCCTCTGACATCATCACTGAAAGTGCTTTTCAGGGTCTTGCATGGCACCCATGGAGATCACTGTTGGTCCAGGGGAGCAGCTCGGGGGGCTCTGCAAAGCTGCAGGTGCAGCCACGCTCCTGCTGCAGTGTCTGGGGAGCACAGGCTCCTTCTCACCAGAGAGGGTCGGGCTGTCCCCAGTGATTGCTGCCAAAGGCAAACCCAAAGCGGGATCTGCAGGACCCCTCTTTGCATGTCACTGCTGTGGCAGCTCTCAGCAGATGTGAATCCCACTGATACATGAAGAGGAAGAGAGTGCAGAGAGAGGGGTAGGGAAGAGAGTTTAGGGCTGCAGCTGGGTAACCCTTTGAATTTATATTGTGGACTACAGTGTTAAGAAACAGCAGTGTACCTCAGAGTAAGAAATCTCAGGGAAGTTTTGGTTTTTTCTTCATGGGCCGCTTTCTCAGTGACAAACTGGTTTTGAGGGAGAAGCGCTGACCAAATCCACTACAACTTGAGTTGTTGCAGTGAATGGAGATGAGCCCAAGCATGCTTTGCAATACACTCAATAAGAATTGACCTTTACATGATGTCGTTTTGGCTACATATAAATTTGCATATGCTGGCCCAAATTATCTGAGGGAGCTGGCTTTGCAGAGTTCTCCCTCTTGTATGTAAGGACAAGGTGAGAACATCACAGGCCTGCTGAGGCCGCTTCCCTCTTTCTCAGATCATTGGCATTACAAAATGGGAGAGGAGAGGTAAGGAAAGGAATCTGTATCCTGTAGGACAGTCTTATGGTTTGTTCACCAGAGCATCACAGAAAAAAAGTTCCTGATAGCTCAGCGTGTCCTCTGACCTGACCAGCCATGGGACCATGCATGGAAAACTTATCAAAGATGTCCTTACACTGCTCTACTCTCTTGAAACCCCTTTTCTATAAGTAGCCTCTGTAAAGAAGTTATCCAAGCTGTGGTTATTAAATAAACTTGTGAAGATGAGTAGATATTTGGAGAATACAATTTTTCTTATTTATTTCCCTCTGAAATTCAGAAATATTAAATAGAGGAGTTTATATTATGGGAATGTCACAGAGATCATGTGAAATTTTGCTGATTCCTAATGTGTGTTTCTCTGATACCTAGTGTTTTAACACAACACAGGTGTTTTAGGTCACATGGGGAAAATAGTAGCATAGTGAAGAGGAAAAAATGTGTTTCATACACTTATTTATGAACTTACATGTACTTTCATCAGAGTCAATGGTTGGCAAAACTCCAATCAGCTTCAGTAGGAGTGGGTGCTATATTTAACCATCAAATCAGCTTGATTCTAGGTAACCCTGAATAAAGGTGAAGCTTCCAGGTCCAAGGACCCATGGAGAAATACTTTCTTCAATAGACATTTATCAACAATCAGAGCTGAATCAACTCAGGACTGCTTGAAGTGCTCTTTGCTAGCATGATTGTAGTCTTTCCACTTTTTTTTTTTTTAATTATTTTTTTTTGTAAATTCCAGGTGTAACACAGTATATTTACCAAGGGTAAAAATAACATGCTGCTGTGAAGAAAAACATCTTGGGTTTCATTTCAGGCCTGGAGCTGAGGATGAATCACTGCAAAGCTGCACTCTTTACACTGGGCACGCTTTCTGAAAGCTGCTTTTCCACTGCCCCTGGTCCCTTGGTGGTTCAGAAATAAAGCAGACTCACAGAAAGTCCTAAAAAAAGCCTTTGCAGACAATCATTCTCTTGTTGTTCTGGGCACTAAAAATACCATTTTCTAGTGTCTACTTGCATTTTCAGTTTTGCTTTCTATACCGTAGAAGTCCGTTCCAGCCATTTGAATTAAGCTATGATTCAGTGGTATGCATAAGCACACACTCAATTTGAAGTACCTGAGTAGTCCTGTTAGCTCCCATGGAGCTACTTTCATGCTTGAAATTAAGCATGGTCTTAGGTTTGCTGAACTGGGTATTTGCTTGTCCACCCAGTAAGCTAACAGGACAAAACCCTTGACCATCTGCTTCTGGATTTTAATGAAAATTTATGACTTGTTTGTGATCTTCGTCCCCACCCCCGTCTGTTTATATTCAATCAGAAAACCAGCTCAGAAGCCCTGTCAGGTTGCCAAAAGCTGTGTGCTACTACTGCATCTCTCACATCATTTAATGTTCAGTGTTTACTAGAGTGTTTTTAATGCACAATTACCCGCAGAAGTGGTATAGGCTAATGCTGATGTGATATTTCACATCAGCAGCAGGACTTTGATGTCCCTATATCTCAAGTTCCTTTTCACAGAAAAATGAAATAAAATAACTGCGCCAGTTAGGCCAAAGGATGCTACTAGCTCTCTGTTTCCCAAAAACATCCCTAAAAAGTCAGTGAATGGGCCTAATCTTTGTTTCTTTTGTCTTTGTAACATAACCGACCTTGGGGGTCAGGGTGGGCATCTACAGAGGTATAAGGGCAGGAGCTGGATGATGTTTCCAAATATATGTGATTTAGTATGCAGACTCACTTATGCATATACACCATTTGTATTTGTTAAAGGTAAACAGAAAAAGCCACCATTTTAGTCACAAGCATTCATCACAAAAGCTCTTTTTTAACATGTTTACATCCAAAAGAAAAAGTTACTTTGTTTTGCTTAGCTCTGTTTAGACAGAAATAAGCTGCATCCCAGAATTATATTTAGAAGTATGTAGTGGGATAGAAAAGTTAAACCCGAGAGAAAAATGCACAAGTATTCTGGTTCTGAGGGCAAAAGATAAATTCACCACCACTCAATGACAGGCAAGACCATGTGCTGACTGTATCTTCCCTTGTGGTTGTTATTCGGTCTTGTGGCTGACAAAGCAGCTGTAGGACCTTTATAGAGGCAGATTTTATATGTAACATGTTCTGCAGCACCCAAGATATTTTATACCTGAAAAACGTATGCGAAGCCAGCATTTCCCAGGCGACATTCAGAGCCCTGTTCCTTCTCCTAAAGATGACAGTCCCCATTGAATGGTTTCTGTGATATATTTTATTTTTAAACTGAAAGCCATCAGCAGTTAATTTAGTTTTAATACATATATTAACACAACATGGTAAAATTAGTAGTAAAACTGCACAGGAAAAAACTGATATACTTAAAATATATTTTCAGTGTTTAAGATTATTTAAGTGTAAGTGTAAATCTTTTCAGCTTTAAAAGTACTAGTTATTTTTTAAAACACACATTTGAGAATTATAACTGCGTTAGTTCCTGAACCATGGTGGTGCTGAGCAGTCAACACAACCGAGTCACATTGGATAAAATATCTGCCACATCCTTTTGACGTACGTTGAGCAGAGAGTGGTCCAAACTGCGTAGCATTTTTCCTTTTTTGCCCTCAGGCAATAACAAATCTCTTCTGGGAAAGCACCTGTATGGTGACCATTCGTGGGCTTCCAGCCACATTGCTGCCCAACACTTGCAGCAAGAGCTGAGATTTCCAAGCTGGGGAGAGCAAGAGGCACTGGGTGAAACATATTTGGGGAGTGGGGGGCAGATCCTGAAACACGCTTCCAGAAGTCTTAGGTCCTTGGAGGGTCTCTCAGTTCTCCGAACTGCAAATTAGTTGCTTTGCAAGGAACTCAAATGAAGCATTGCAACCTGACTTGCTGCTTGTTTAATAAGACCATAGTACAGTTTCAGGAGTTAAATGGCAGGACTAGAAGAAAGCTTGTTAGTAATGTAGCACCACTAAAGAAACCAAAATGCAACTAACGCCCTCCTTCCCTTGCCAACAGCCTCTATATATTTAAAGGTATTCCCTGTGGTTCTGTTCTTTGTTTTGATTTTTGCAACAATTTTTCTCTCTCTGATGAAACACATTGTAGACATTAAATTAAGGGACAAATATGTCTGCGTCTGCCAGAAAGAAAACTGTGATGCAATTAAAATGCCATTAGGGAACCCCCTGTGGGATGTTAAACCTAAAGACTCCATTCAGAAAGCAAAGCCAAAATTAAAGAGGCGTCTGGTTGCAGATCCTCTGCAGATTTCCATTTCTTGACTACAGTACCATGGAGACTGTGCTAGTCAGGAGCTGAAAGGTTTTTCCAGTCATGTGTGTGGCATTTTGAATCATGGCTTTGGCAAATGTGCCTTTTCTGTAGGCCATACGTAGAAGTGTGTCTACATTGCGTGACATAAAGTGCAACTGAGCGTGGTCCAAATGAAGCAATGACAGCAGTGGAGACGGGAAGCTGTCCAAGCATTGGAAAAGCCTTGTCCAAGGCTTAGACAGTGACAACTAATAATAATTTTCCCTCAGAAAGTTTGCATTAAGAGCACCTCTATGTTTGGAGAGTTGTCTGTGAGATGTTTGGAGAGAGAAGTGCAGCTACTTGCAGCCATCAGGCTCAGCAAGCTCATGAACAAGCCTCCGTTCTAGCCCAGTCTCTGGAAATAAATCGTTAGTGTTTATATGTTTGGAGACATGTAAGAGCCTGATCCTTTGAAAATAAAAATAAATATATGGTCCGTTGAGGCTGGTCATTTTTTCTGAGGCAACTGAAGAAATGAGCAGAGTCCTTGGGTGGTAGGTACTGAGTTTTCCAGTGACAGCCCAACCCTGGTGCTCGAGTCTCGTTTTTTCCATTTCATTCAGCATGATTCTTTGCTGAGGATATTAGTAGGGACTGGAATAATAATAGAAGCACACCTCTCTTCTCTGTCTAGGAATTCTCCTGATGACTGCAGCGTGGCAAAAGGAGGGAAAATGGTTAGCGGCTCAGACAATGTTGGGATGAACTATGGAAACTACATGGAAGAGAAGCACGTTCCACCCCCAAATATGACTACCAATGAACGAAGAGTCATTGTGCCAGCAGGTTAGACCCTCTACACAAAAGTTCTGAGCAAAATAATGCATTTCCCCTAAGTCTACCAACATTATTTAGGAAGATTTGGAGAAAAGTGGCAATGTGGTACGGGTGGTCAGGAAGAAAAGAACAATTATTTCCCAGGGTTATTAAGAGAACGAGCTGAGAAATATTGTAGCGAAGCCACCTCCTCAACCTATTTTTTGCCATTTCAGCAGCAGAACTGGCTGATTACGGGCCCTCAGATCTTATCTGACTTCTCTAGCTCCTTTTAGAGTATTTTACCTTAAAGTGGGCAAAATGAAGAGCCACTTCCATTTCCTAACATCATGGACTAGCTGGGTGCAGAGTGTGTGGGAGAGAGAAGGGATCACTGTACCACATGATAGCCCTGCAAATACCAAATGCAGTCCGGCCCTCAGCACGCTAAAAACACAATAGCTACTGTGAAATCAAACAGTGCATGAAAAGCATTTATCTAGGTTATCCCCTGAGCCTGGGTGGTGTAAAACATTTTAATAAGCAAACTGACAGCTCCACTGCAATATAAGAGCACAATTGAGAAATTCTTGGTTAGCCTTGGCAAGCTTGGTTGTGGAATTCACCAGTTAATTGAAAAAGAAGGCATTCACTCCCGTCCTCCAAACAAACCTCTGCTGGAAGGTTTGTTGCCTTGGTTTGCAAAGAGCTAGCATGCCTGTTTCCGGAGTTGAAGCCTTAGACCATCATGACATATGTGGGTGTTCATAAACCACTGGGTATACACAGCATAGACACAACACCTGCAACCTGCAAACAGAAGGGAATGTTTTGCTGCTAGTTCCTCTCCAGCAGAGATGTGCCTATCTGAAACATTTCTGCTACTGCTATGTTGCTTAATATTCTTACAGTTTTTCAGTTGCTAAGATATGCAAGAGTACTAACTGTGGCCAATTTTGCAAGCTGTGATTATTTCAGTTATTTGTCAAGATACGTGTGGACAAATATGTTGCAGTCTCCTCTGCAATGGTATTGACAGTTCTATTCTGAAGCACAGAAGAGTGATGCACTGAATAAATGAAGTGTCTTGCCAACTGGAAGCAGACCACGCTGAAATTAACGACATTTGAATGTTCTTCTAAAACATTTGGCTTCTTGGTGGTTGTCACTTTTTTTCAGTTGTTTAGTAACCCTTAGCATGATTAGCTCGGCAAGATCTTTTTTTCTCAGTGTATTCCTGGAGGTGTGTTTTGAGGTGGATTTGAGTGACATTTAAGGAACAAGATGGTCACAGTCACAGCCTTGCTATTTCAAGGTCCCTAGAATAAATATAAGGGTAAAAGACAGTTGGTGTTGTTTGACTACCACATAGGCAGTGGCAATGTTTCGGAATAAAAAAGCAAAATTCACATTTCCAGCTGTAGTAACTTTCTGGTTATCATAAATAAGATGACTTAAAAACTATAGGCATAAGCAAAATGTTTTAGTAAATTTCCTGATGTTTGGTTGTTTACTTCAAACAAAAATGAATGTAGTTGTTGGAATTCTCTGCTGCAAGTGTGGGCAACCTCACCCAGACCCTAGATTTACCAACCAGACTTGCACTCCTCTAGTTGGCTGCATATTTCATACCAGATGGAGGGGTTCTTTTAAGTGATTTCTAGTGCACTTCAGAGAACAGAGAAACCCTCTGAAGCTCCAGAGGATTAAATATTCTGACTTGCAAGAGCTTAAAATACCAAAAGAAGCATAAGAAAAGGGGAGGAGCTAATGGGAGGAAGATTGGGAGTGAGCAACAGCATGACAGACTCTGAATAGTTCCTAGCACATGGGAAGAGGTCCCCACCTCTTTCAGATCAGCCTGAACAACAGTCAAAAGAGAGGGAATGGCACTGAATTAAGCCACAGAAAAGCTATTTAGTCAAGTCCCAGCCCTTCCACAGACTTTTATGTGACCGAGTACAGCCATTTGACCTCTGTGTGTTCCGTTCTCACTCTTCCCGATATCACAGAATCACAGAGTCGTTTAGGTTGTAAGGCACAAACTCTCAAGGAGTTTATTTCCCCTTAGCTTTAATATTTTGTCTTCAAAAAGTATAAATTCATGGTAGGAACTGCCTCATTATGGAGATGTGCACTGCAGGTCCTTAGGCATTTTCATGTTGATGGGTGCTGACTGTAACTCAAGAAGAGGGAAAAGCAGAATGGAAGAGAAATAGAAGAGGAGATGTTTAGAGGCAAAAAAGAAGTTTAAGTTAAAATCAAGGATTCATACACGATTCTCAAAAGCACAAGGTAGTTGACCTTATGTTTTGCTAAAAATCTGGACTAGTTCTTGGGGGTTTTTTCCCCAGATGGTTTTGACAATGCTTCAGGTAGTTCGTAAAAACCCTTGCAGGTTTAGCAATGTACACCAGTACAACACAGCACTCTAGGAAAGGAAGTGCAGAATATTTTAACATGACCCACTCTAGTTTTTGAAATAAATAGCCAAATCCATGAATGCTTACTTAGTCTATGCCTAAGAAACAATACTTGTGACTCGAGTGGAAATTTCACTTGACTAAAGACACAAATTCAACAAGGAACTTTGAAAATTGTGCAGATACAAGTCAGTGCTGTTAGTGTGCTCTCGTAAATACTTTTCTGAATTGTATTCTCTGCATGAGGACAGGAGCCTATATTAACCTGTAGATAATAATTCATAAAAATAGCAAGAGAAAAGAACTAAATGGGAGCAGCAGCTCAACGGCAGAGAATTTGTTGTTAATAATCAAGGCTCACAGCTCTTCCTTAATATTTTTTCAAAGACAATTACTCTCCTTTCCCCGCAATAGGCCAAATTAATTCCTCATGTATCTCCAGCAGTCAGTAAGCAGTGGATTAAAGTCTCTCCAGTTTGACTGTGGTCTACGTTTATTTTGTACTAGTCCAGTGCATCAGCACTCTCTGCCTAATTTTATGCTTTGTGATACCACCAGATCCTACGTTATGGAGCACAGATCACGTACGCCAGTGGCTGGAATGGGCAGTGAAGGAGTACGGTCTCCCAGATGTGGACATCTTGTTGTTCCAGAACATCGATGGGAAGGAGCTATGTAAAATGACCAAAGACGACTTCCAGAGACTCACCCCAAGCTATAATGCAGATATCCTCCTGTCACACCTACACTACCTCAGAGAGAGTAAGCTAATTTTCTGTTATGGTAGTGGCTATAATCAATCTGTGGTTGATATCAGTCTTAGATTTAACAGTGTGTATACACTTAGGTGAGTTTTCAAATGTCTGTTGCAAATTTTGCTGTTGCTAAGAATGTAGTAGGGAGCCTGATCCAAAGCCTCTTGAGTTTGATGGAGAGGTTCCCGTTAATTTGAGTTGGCTTTCACACATGTTCATTGAAGAAAAGAGTTAGGGAATATTTCTACATCTCAGAGAAAAATCAAATTGAAACCCAGGATATGCATCAGCATACTGTAGGAAGAAAATCATATGGGATTCAGTGCTAATGTTTTTTCTGGTCACATACTCATTTCTTTCCATTTTAATGAGAACGCTAAATGAGAGTGCAAACGTTGATTCATAAAGCGAATTCCAGGCATGATTCTAAGGACTGACAGTAGTTTGCTCTACTCTGAATAGGATCAGGAAGATTTCACTGATTTGAATAAAAGTTCTGTAAATTCATGGAAAAAAGGAACAGTCCCTGAAGTCCAAATGCAAGTTACTTGTAGTGCATGGCTAGCATTTCAAAGGGAAAGAAGGGATTAGTGAATTCCTGGCTTGAGGGTTTTCATCTAAGCTTGAGGAAATTTTGCAGGGTTGCCTCAGTTTAAAGAAGTAAAGTGAATACGGTTTTTAAAGAAAAAAACAACAAGCATTGCAACACCAGTGCGGTGCAGTCTTCTCCACACGCACACTGTCCATAATCGGTCAGAAATATTATGCATTCATTATGTTGAATAAACGAATGCCCTTGTTTAAGCTGTAGCACACGTGCCTCTCTCCAAACTGCAGACTGAAGCTTCAGTAGACTTGCATTCATACAATCCTGTCAGGGAAAAATATGGTTTAAAAAGATAATTCACAATTTTTTTCATTTTGGTGTTGCTTTTTGTTTTGTTTTGTAGCTCCTCTTCCACATTTGACTTCAGATGATGTTGATAAGGCCTTACAAAACTCTCCACGGTTAATGCATGCTAGAAACACAGGTAATGCTGGCACTGCTCCCATTGCTATAGGTCATCTAAAAGCAGAGGATTCCTTTTCATGGGTTGCTTACTAAAAATGGAAATGGTAAATTAGGAGGGAGACTAGTATGTCCTCTCCTTGCTGTGTGTGTGAGTTTTATGCACAGACACACAGAAAAAAGGTGAGATCACATAGGGCCAGATGGTGCAAAAATGGTCTCCTTACTGGTAATTTCTTGTGTCCTACAAGAGAATGGAGTCCCTGACACATTGTACTGTCAGATCTACTCCACAGATCCCTAGAATGTTGGTGGAGCTCAAAAATGCTTCAGTACTTGCTTAAGTGCTGTGGGCTCTGAGAGTATGAATGGGGACTGTCTCCTGTCCCACGCACTATATATCATATAATTCAATAAAATTACTATTTAGGCAGTTAGCTCACCTCATTTGTCAGCTATATGGGACTTAAGCTGGCAGCTCCACTAAGTTTGATGTTGTAATTTCCACTAAGTGTGATTTGAATGAAAAATTGTTTTTGTTAATATTCACTCTTCTGTTAATTCGGATCAGAAAAACATTGAGTGTAGGTAGGACAATACATGCCTCAAAAGCATCTGTCTTTCAGGATATGACAAAATATTTATGAAAATAATTCAGTATAATTTTTATCTTGCTCTAGCAGTTGTGCAACAGAGGATGGCATGGAATTATACATATATTATGGTATACATACTGATTAAAGATGTTTGGAATATTGCATGATCATGCCTGAGGGTATTAGTTACCTACAGTGACCAGAAATAACAATTCTTTATGAGAAATGAAAAAGATAATACAAAGGATAATGCAAAGGTAAAAAAAAAGAAAACCTTGGATTGCAATGCCTCTTTCATATTTCATTTAGTTTTTCACTGTGGTAAATAACAGTGAGTTTCCTAGCAAAATTAACTAAATGAGAAGATGTCTCCCTGAGATTAGATGTTTGGCACTTGACATAAAGTCCTACTGTGGGCTGTAGGCCTGCTGCAAACCCCACCAAAAGCAACAACAATTTTTCTGTTGACATTGCTGGGGTTTGGAATAAGTCTTAAGTCTTTTTTAAAAACAGATGAACTCGATGGTCTTTTCCGTCTCTGACTTTCCAGATTCTAATTTTCCAAATAGTTTCCACATGCAGTTGTCCAAGTGTTGTTCAGCAGTTCTATGTGTTATCTTTTTCTATATGTGTGCACTGACAATGATATTTTGAAATTCATTTCACCAAAATGAGTTTGTCTGCATTTCTGTCGTAGGGAGTGTGAATAATATCATGCTAATCATCAGTATAAGGAAAATTAGTTGTTCTGGTGGCATAAGAACTTTGGAGTGGGATTTTCAAAGGATCACAGAAGAATTAGAAACAAGATCTTCTTGAAGTCAGCAGTAATTGCACAAATCCTTATGACCCTTTTGCATATTCCTAGAGATGGTCATTAGAAGTCTGTTGATGTAGTTAGAGCCATTTCAGTGCCTGAGATAAGTGAGATGTCATTTTCTATGTCAAGGTCAATATTTTTAATTTTCTTACTCTGTGAAGAGAATGAGATTTCTGAGGGTCTGAGGGAAACCCAGTCGAAGTCTGTGAGAAGATTCCCATGGACACTAATAGGCTTCCACCTAGGCTTACAGTCTCTATTGAAATTATGAACCTGTTTGAGAAGTGCATGCAGGAATGAAGAGAAGGCAAAGAAGTTTTATTTCAGAAGATATGAAACCATCTGCCCAGGTGGAGGTGATTGTGGTGAAGGTAGAAGGGATTTGCTGAGCTTGACTGTCTCCTCTCTTAACACAGATTTTGCACAAACCTATATCCAGTAATTTGAATGGTTTTACACAGGTACAAAGGCTATATTGGAGTTTACTTTTATATGTAACAGTGCTAAGATAGAAGATAATTATTCATAGTCTTCATTCAGACACAATACAAGAGGGAAAATATCAGTGGGCTTAGGAACAGTGAAAATGAATCTTTAGGTGTTATGTTTTCTTCTTTCTCTTTAGGAGGTGCCACTTTTATTTTTCCAAATACATCAGTTTATCCAGAAGCAACACAAAGAATTACAACCAGGCCAGGTATGAACAATGACCGCCTTTTGTATGCTGTGATCTTACTCATTTCATCTCTTGATGTATCTCATTCTTTTTCTCTTTGAACTCTTTTTTTGTAAACATTAGGCTATATTTTGGATACATACACATATTATATACACATATTTTATATATATATGTGTGCATGTATCATTGTGTAGAGTGAGATCATTAAACAGAGCAGTTCAATGTCTGTTTCTTCCACATATCTCTGTCTTTGAAGCAATGTTGTCTAGTGCTTAAAGCCCCAGAGAATCAGAAGATCTAAGCACTATTCACTGGTTCTGTTTCATTGTCCTAACACAATCATTTTTCAATGTGCTTCAGCTCTTTGTCTGTAAAATGAGGCAAGAATACTCTCTTTTATAATGCTATTTGAAGTATATTGGAAAAAAGTACTCTAAAAATGCGAGATATGTGTTTCTCCTGCTACCTACTGTTATTTATGTTTGAGGCAAATAAACCCCACAACATCTGATTGTGAGTTTAAGAGACTAAATAAGTAAAAGGTTCTAAAAAACCACATATCAGACATGGTGAAGTTCTTCATTTCAGCATTTTTATCAAAATCACATTTACAATGACACAAAACAAAATGCTTTATGTCAACATTAAAAACATCTTCCTGTGTTAACACAATTCCTTGTGGGAGTTGTAGTTTGGATATGGGATGTCTCTAGTCTTCTGTGTAAACTGATGTATCCAAAGAAAATATTTCCTACAATGTGATTTTGAAAATATTATTTTATCTTTTACAATTGTAAGTTGACAAACATCTTTAAAGTCAGAATTTTCACTGAGAGAGAAAAAAATGTTTTTCTACAGAAATTCAGTTTTGTCTCAAGACACTATTTTGTTGGCTTATTCCATGGCTTTCCTTTTAGTTAAATGTCACATTTCAACTAGACTGCAAAGAAGCTTTTCCATAACAAAGCGCCCTTCGTGTGAGAGCAATAGCAGACCCTGGGGACAATCACTTGATGACATGGAAAAGGTCAAAAATGAAAGGGGGGAGAAAATAATGTTAAATGGAAATTAGCCCAAATCCTGGGATGCAATTTGAGAGAAAGTAATTAAGCACTGCCATTGTTAAGGCACTACAATAGAAAATAGGAAATGAGCAGGGCTTGTAACAAACTGCAATGACAAAGGCGTATTTCTTCAGTCACCTTTACAACAGAACATGAGGTTTCAGCAAGTAAAGTAATACAATGAAGCTATCCAGAGCTCAGGAAGACCTAATATGGGTTTGTCTACATGTCTCATCAAACACGAGCATTCCCATCGAAGATCTGTCCAAGATAAGGACATGTTGTACTAATAACTCATGAATAAGAACAGATCCGCTTATCTAGGATAGCAACATGTTTATCAAGGCACAACACTGAACTAAGAACGAAGTTGGAATTTTGTGCTATTTCAAGAAAGGCTGATAACTTGATTTTTCTTTTAACAAGAGGGCGTAGTCAGAAAACTATCTTATGATGTGTTGAGTTAAAAGGTGAAACAGTTTTCTCACAGTACTAAATTTGTACCAAATGTATTTTAAGACTGCAAGTGCCATCGAGTACGAGCACAGCCCTCTCAGTGTACAGGTGTCTAATAATAATTTGGAGTCCCACAAATAGATGGAAAGGAGAGGAGAGCACAATGCTGGTAGTGTCAGTCTGTTCCTCAAATAGACTAAATAAATTAAAGGCAATTTGGTTGTGAATGTCACATTACACTTTATTTCCATTTGATACTTCACTTATTGTGCTTGGAAATGGGCAGAGATACATCTATTTTGCACAGAGCCGTTCTGTGACTGTTTCTTTACTTCCTAACTGGTTTCATTTCCAAACATCATTTCTAAAATAAAGCACAAGCACTGTTAGGAATCAAATCATCTGTAGCAACTTAATTGTACTGGGTAGGTACTGCTACCTTCCTGAGAACCTGGGCAGGCTACATAAGTCTCTTGTTTTGGCAGCAATTTTACCTAATGTGTTAAAGCCAGCCATAGAAAAGCATAGGCAACTGCAAAAGATTTCAAAGGGTAAACCAAACATTTGAATTTACTACATATACTTTATGAAGAAAGCTTTTACATTTTAGTTTTTTCACTGTTATATGCTAAAGCATTTAAATCAAATGGAAGTTATGATTAAATAACAGAAAAGGCAAATGAAAATTTAGATATGTAAACTTAAGGAGCTTGTCCCACAAAGCAGAAAGGAATATTTAAATAAATGAAGCAGGAAAAAAGCTCTCCACTTTTTTGGGGAAATACTATATGTATACATATAGATGTTTAACATTTAAGCATGTTCACTGTTTGCACATGTTATGGTTCTAAAGATCTGTGATGATACTTGAGCGTGAAAGGGAAAGTAAAAGAAAAGGAATTATTAATAATTTGAAATGACTAGTAGAAGAGAAACAAGTGAGACTGGCAAAATGCAGCAATCCATTATCCCAAAAGGCTGGATTCTCAGTGATGAGAGTGAAACCAGAGGGTGCATCTGAGGAAGAGAGCACTTGCAAGCGTGAGGAGTAATATCACAGGCAGAGCATAATAAAATGCATGATGGCAATGAGAGCCAGTGCAAACACAAACGCGTAACAGCGGTTTAGAGAAATCTCCAACATACTTTGTTGTCTCACATATCTCTGCCTATGACCAGATGGCAGAAAAGAGAACTCTCAAACTCATCCTATAAGGTTTGATCAATCTCAAGGGATGACAGCAACAGACTAAGAAAGAATGGCGCATTAAAGCAACTAAAGTCTATCTTCTTAAAAGACTTACATGGCGAGATTGGGAGGGAGTGGTACACAGTTTATGCTTAATCTGAGCTCTGACCTCTTGGGGGTCTTTTCCTGCAAGACTCTAGCATAAATTGTTCATGATGTGCAGTGTGTGTCACTTTTTGGTGTCCTGGGCTGAGGAAGACCAAAGGGAGTACTCTGAGCCTTTGGAAATGATAGACTCCATAGAGTATTTGTACCAGCTATTTCTGTGCAGTTCAGACATCTAATAAGATTAGGCACCTCTAAAGAGCAATGCAGAGGGCAATGTGGTACTGTTATTTTTAGATACAATAAAGATGATAAAGGTTTTAAAAATGAGTGTCCTTCCTATTTCAGTAATTTTTCCAGTCCAGTGGGTCCCCTAGAAATGTGTCCCTTATGGGCATAAACACTTTATGCCCTATCTGCATGAATCAATGTATTTTTCCTTCACAGATTTGCCTTATGAGCAAGCAAGGAGATCAGCATGGACGAGTCACACCCACCCCAGTCCTCAGTCAAAAGGTAAAAAACATCGGCATATGTCTAGCCTATGGGCATAATGCACATCTGGTGCAACCTGGGTAGTCTCTGAAGTGAACTGATAGGAGCTACCTCAGCATTCAGCTCTGGAGGATTTTTACCTGTGCCTTGGCTGGAAAGCCTGTTAGCTGTGTATAGGCAATACTGGCTGGAGTCACTGGAGCAGCCACAGGCTTCATCAGGTCCACGACCATATAGTTTTATAAAGCTAAATCCTATTGTGACCATCATTGAGTGGTGAGCAGCAGGAGTCCCAGGCCTGTGATCTATCACAGGTTTGGTGGCCAACTTCCAAACTGGAAAAGTAACTGCATGGGTTTTTCCATTTTCAGCTACTCAGCCATCATCCTCAACAGTTCCCAAAACAGAAGACCAGCGTCCTCAGTTAGGTGGGTGTCATTTTGTTTGAATTATGCCTGAGTGTGACGGGGTTTGTTGAACATGATGAGAAGGACAGCTCTTGCCTATCAACCAGAACCAAATTGTAACATCTGATACAATGCACTAATGGGATCTCCAGCTGGTGACTGCTAAATCCTCAGACGTGTATGAGCTGGCTCTACAGCCGGATCTGAGGTGAAGGCTCCCATGGCCATTGAAAATTGCTTTTAGTTTTGTTTAATGGCAGTGATGACCTTGCAGAGTGAAAAAGCTATTAAACAAAGTACCTACATACAGTTTAGGTACAAAGGTGGAAGGTAAGGATGTCAAAAGACACATACGCCACAGTAGTTGAAATGCCAGCAATTGAAAAATGTGTATGAGCAAAGAGATGAAAATGGATCGCAGTATACAGAAACCTACTTGAATTGGGCTCCTGAAATTAAACACGAAAGTTAGAATGATTCTCAGTCTATTGGGAAACGGAGGAGAAAGTAGAAGTTTATGAGTTTGTAGACTAGCGGTTTTGCAAAATGGGTGAATTTTGTGTTTTCAAAGCAGTTGATCCATGGAGTAGGACCTAATCCCTTGCTGTGAATTAGACTGTCTTGGACAGGTGGCTAGAAAGCACTACGGAGAGTCTGAGTCAGTTACGGCTTTTGTTAACAGTAAAAGGGTAGAAGTAGGAAATAAAAGAAACTTGGAGGATATTTGTAGTGCAGAAGCCTCTGAGCCTGTTTTTATCACGTGGATTTCAAATCATTATTCTGTTTTTTGTTATAGCTAAATAAGACTGTGCACATGATTACGTCTCATTAACTGATATGCATACTGCCTGGGAAGTATTTTACTGCTTTTTACCCAAATAGCATTTTATCTAATCTGGCCTTCCAACCATGAGAGTCTTTCAAGAAATATACTGATGATTTACGTAAGTCCTTAGGACTGTTTAATGGCTGTGTGCGCAAGCTGCACAGATTATTTAAGTGTATAAGGAATGTAACCTGATTATCTCCTTGGCTGTAAAACTGGTGGCCGTTTATGAGCAGCCATCCGGAGACAGGGCAGCCCAGAGACAGAGTCGTTCACCAAGGGGCTCTGGGCTGTGCTTGCAGCCCATTGCTTTGGCTTTTGTACTTCTGTCATGGCCTTCCCTTTTTCCTGTCGTACTTCAATTCGGGCCTAAATAAGTTTTCACTTCCAGAGGGAATCCCTTGAGGAAAACATTGAGGTTCTGTGGGTGTTGTGCGGCTGACACAGGCTCTTCTGCAAGGTTAATAGAGGGGATCCCTCTCTGGACTCCAGTGACAAAGAGGCATTGACCCAGCCACATTGCCTGGGTTCAGCCATGCGCTCACAGCCCTCTTCTGGAGTATCTTTTGTCACAGAAAGAGTTAGAAGTGGCCTGGGGAAAAGAAATGTGGCCTCACAAGAAGAGAGGCTGCTGTCCTTTGTGGAGGAGACTCTCACACCGTTACCTGTCTGTGCCTGTGGGCCCTGGCATGCTGCATGGGTCGATAGTACCAAAGGTGCCTGTGTGCTTTATGTGTGCTTTGTTTAAGAAGGAATCGGAATATTTCTGGGCCAAATTTACAGTGTTTCCGAACATGTGCCTGTACACACTAATACAGTGCAAAAGGCAAACGTGTATCCTTGCAGTTGTTCACTTGCACGCCCAATTTTATGGGAAAACATGCAAATGTTGTGATGCAAAGAAAGGAACCACTTTCCCCACTGTTAGACCTCCTGTCCCATCAGGCGGTGTACACTGCCCCTTACAAGGTTAAAAAATAACACCTGAAAGATTTGACCTTGTTGTTACATGATTTTAAATCTTTCTTTCACAATTTTGTAGATCCGTATCAGATTCTTGGACCGACTAGCAGCCGACTTGCAAATCCAGGTGAGAAGGGATTTTGCTGATTTAGGAGGATTTCTCTTCACTGCTAGTGTCCCCACTTCAGCTTTAAGTCCAGACCTGGAAGGTGATGTGACCAATTTTAGCACTCTTCAGTATGACTCAGTGGGAGCTGGTGATACCCAATGTGTTGCAGGATTAGGTTTCTAAAATACACAAGGGTGGGACTGAGGCCACAGATTAAGAGACGTAAACTCGTGTATCTTAATGTAGCTGTCTACATATAAGCTAGGTGTCTTATTTTCCATGATATTCGTTGGAGACTTAGTTAACATAGCTATTTGTAGCAAGCTATTCAAATCATTCAGAGTAGATGGTTACATGCAGTCAGTCAAATACGTTGTTAGAGGTATTTGAACCTCTCGTATCAATAGTTCACTTCAATTGCCTAAACATCAAGATTTTGTTAAGTGCTGTAAGGTATCCCATCTGGCCTCCAGGTACCCTTTCGAAAGGGCATGAGTCTCTTACCAATCTGCGTCATATGTATCCCAGATTCCGTTAATCCACAATACAATGCCATACTGACCTTGACAAATACAAAATTTGGGGATCAATAACCCAAACCAGCAAAAATATATAGGGGAAAAAAAGGAAACCATAATCTATTTACAAAGAATAATTAGGCTAGACTCCTCAGAAATGTTTTCTCACTTTAAGAAGGCAGCAGGAGGGCGCATTGTGGACAGGGGCTTGTAGTGTATTTTAGCTAAAGACGAGCAAACTTCTTGGTGAGTTAATAACACTGATTGTGAACTGTGCAGATTTCACTGTTGCTGTTCTTGAGTCCACAGGACACACTGTGGCCATACACCACCATAATCAACATCGTAATCTGCCACAATGGATTGACGTTGTATGTTCCACTTCCTATTACCCTTGCTTTAACAGCCACAGGGCACAGTGTTCCTGGTTCCACATTGCAGGTCTCCTAAACCCCCAGTAGCAATGTTTCTTTTTACGACAATTGTATGGCTTTTCAAGGCATGAAATTGCCAAAATACTGATCCATTTCCTTTCACTTTATCCCAAGTGACATCAAGCACAGTTCTAGATTAGCTTACATTCTGAATAGTTTTGCATGGCATAGGAAAGCAATTAAGTAAGTATTAAGAACAAGATTTTCCAAATGGCTTAAGGCAGTGGGTTTCCAGGTGACACTGATCTTAACCGGAAGCAGGCACCTACCTCCCTTTAATTGGTTCATAAACCTCGGATTTTACAGTTTTGTCAAGCATCTATTTAATAGCCTTCCTTACTTTGGAAGACACTAACATGATCTGGATTGGGAAACTTTTTTAACATTCAGATATGGAATTCCAATACGCCATCATTTCTGTGCTTTAACGTATTTTGTGTGTTTATAAATTGGTGGAATTACTCTCTCATTAAGAGGAAATTGACAGCAACCATTTATTTTCATAGGACTATATATTACATTTGGAAGGCAAGTGTTTATGTTAGAACATATGTTGGATTGCTTATTCAAAAATTTGTGTTTTGTCCAGTGCTGAACTGTTTATTGATTTTCAAAGGCTAATCCTCTTGTTATGTTTTGTGTATTAAAACTTGCATGCCTTGCTCATACCGCGGATTCTTTGGTTGTTTGTTTACTTAATGCATGTTAATGGAACAGAAGAAATTCATTAAGGACAGTTTGGATAAATATAATCTAAATGAACATGGGTTTCAGTTGCACTGAAGTATAAACTGCTAATGGGTTTCAGATGCTACTCTAGCTTGATATTATAATTCGCTACTATAAGCTTTCTAAAGAAAAGCTTGTTTATTATACCCACATATCTGGTTTGGAAAAAAAAAAAGAAACGCAACCAATTCCTGGTCAGAGAGGTACTTAGAAATTAGCACATACAAGCTGGTTGGCAAATTCTGCTGACATTGTGCTTGTGAAACACATTGCCTTGCAAGCCGCTTCAGCTGTATTTTGCATCATTTCAGTGCTGCTTTATTAAGAAATGCTAAGCTTTTAACATGAATATCAGTGGCAAGGCCCTTTTTGAAATCTACTTTCAATTGCCTAATATGGTAACATTTTGTTCCTATAACTCTGGGCAACACAATTCTGCAGTTGACAGCAGACTAATTATTTTCTTTATAAGATTAAATTGGAAGAGGAGTGAGAAAAAAACTACAACAACTTTTAAAGTCTTAACTTCAATAATTATTTATACTTGTTTGACCCAGAAAAATGACAAAAATGTATTTTATGGACCTTTTCACTGTTCTTGCAAATGTTTTGCCCTATAGTTTTATGCAGTGCAACAGCAAGCTAATAAGTTTCCGTTCTGCGTTTCCCCAAATGCTGCAAATGGATGATATGGTTTGGCACAAGCCCAGCTTTCTCTAAACTTCTCCATTTTGTGTAGGCTTATTCCATAGCAGAGAACATTTAGTTGCAGCATAATGCTGTGAGAACAAGCAAAATGTTACACAAATGAAAGCTGTTTGTCCTGAACTTTAAAGATTAGTTTCCTAAATGAGCGCTGTGTTATTTCCCCATCAATTGTCTACGCTGAATGACATTAGGTAACTATTAAATCTCCGTGTAATGGCATTCTGCCACTCAGATGAGGGAAAACATGACACATTACCATTATCTGTGCTCTTTAGAATTTCATGAGACAGGGCTGGGAGAGGGGGGACTAGTTAAAAGTAAGAAGCAGGAACTGACATTGCAACATTTCCTAATAGGGTCCTATGTGAGAGCCTGGAAGAATTGATGTCTTAGCATTATTAGTTACTAGTCCTGACATTTCTATTTCGTTTCCCCCCGCAGGGAGTGGACAGATACAGCTATGGCAGTTCCTGCTGGAGCTCCTCTCGGACAGCTCCAACTCCAACTGCATCACCTGGGAGGGCACCAATGGGGAGTTCAAGATGACCGACCCCGACGAAGTGGCTCGGCGCTGGGGGGAGCGGAAAAGCAAACCTAACATGAACTATGACAAACTCAGCCGTGCGCTTCGCTACTACTATGATAAAAATATTATGACTAAGGTTCACGGTAAGCGCTACGCCTACAAATTTGATTTCCACGGAATCGCTCAGGCTCTCCAGCCTCACCCCCCAGAGTCATCCATGTACAAATACCCGTCAGACCTCCCCTACATGAGCTCCTATCATGCGCACCCTCAGAAGATGAACTTTGTAGCTCCTCACCCTCCTGCTTTGCCCGTAACATCGTCCAGCTTTTTTGCTGCCCCTAATCCGTACTGGAATTCACCAACTGGAGGTATCTACCCCAATACCAGGCTGCCAGCTGCTCATATGCCTTCTCATCTTGGCACCTACTACTAAGTGGGGAAAAAAGGAACACCAGAAAAAGCAAACAAAGACACTTCTCGCTGGGATACAGTCCCTGATGAATTGCAATGAACTCTATTGGAGTACACGAATTGAAAGTGCCTAAAGAGACAAGTGAAGGTTTGGCTGGGAAAAAACACATTAAAAAATAGATGTCAAAAAGACTCTTTTTAGTAGGGATTTAAAGGAGATATTCAAGAAGTATTAAGATACTGAAATGTAATGTATATGGGCATCGACTATGTGGACCAAACAACAATAGACTATTGTAGGTAAAAGCATGAAATGATAAGGAAAACCTATGAAAGCTAGTGGTCTTAAAAAGTTGATAAGCTTATGTGTAAAGTTTGATACCTTGCTAGTGCAAAACTGGGACTATACTACAGCAATATAAGGATAAGTCTATAGTGACCTAACATACAATATATGAACCATTACAAAAGAGGGGGGGGAAGGGAAAAAAAAAAAAAAAAAGGAAAAACCTACCTGTATTTAAAAAACAGAAACATATCAACAAAAGAGACTGGTTTAGTGTGGAAGCTGATTTGGAATATAACAGCTTTGTTTTAGTTAATCGAATGCGTTCCATTCATCAGAGTGTTATCAGCTACTCAAACTGTGAAGACAACCCAAACTTTGAGATTCCTTGACAGTATTACAGGAACCCTGAGCCAAACATTGGAAATGAGAATGTGCTGAAGGGCAAGTGTATGATTGCAGATCAGAGGCCTGCACCTGACAGAGGAAGCAGAAAGGAGAAAGAGGAGGACAAAGGTGGTGAGAATGGGAGAAGAGAAACTTTACTGGTAGAGACTGAAAAGACTGAAAAATTAGTAGCGTTGGGACTATGAAGAAACACTTGTTTGGACTTGTGAAACATATTGCTCAGTATCATGCCATTCCCAGTATTACAGGAGGAACAGACTTGATTTTATAGTAATAAAAGATGTAGAAAAAGGGAAAAGGAGAAGAATTCAGAAACCAGAACATGCATCTCTTTTTTTTAAAAAAAAGCAAAACTGGAATTGTGTTTGATATTTAAAAGTTACCAGTTAGAACCTCATCATTATTAAGGGAGTTTGTTTTCTATTGGTTAAAACAAGAGACAACCCCTGACTGCCAAAATCAGAAATCACCTGAGTATTTTTGTTAGGTGGGCGCCAGTTTTTCTTTATCGAGTCGCGAACGCTGTGCGTTTGTCAGAATGAAGTATACAAGTCAATGTTATTTTTTCCTTTTTATATAATTATTATATAACTTATGCATTTATACACTACGAGTTGATCTCGGCCAACCAAAGACACAAAAAAGGGACAATCAAAAATATTGTGGCCTTGAATTTTAACTCTGTATGCTTAATGTTTACATTATGAACATATTAGTACTTAGAATGCAGAATGTATGTAATAAAATAAGCTTGGCCTAGCATGGCAATTCAGATTGACACTGTAGTTTGCATTTGCATTTGCCTCTTTAGTGCCTGACATACCTATCACATCTCCTTCTCACCATGTTAAAATATGCTAGGCATTTTGTTTTAAAATTTTGTTTTGTGAAATCCGGCAATCATGAAAATGCAGGATCGAATAGGAATGGTTAGCCTAAGTTCAAAGTGGACAGGTGCTGTGTATCTTCTTTTCCAGACAGTCCTGCTAAAATACTCGCAGCCCTTCTTTAACACTGCCTCGCCATTCTTGTCCGGAGCTTCTTTTGCCCAGAGATTGCAACCATGCCCAATTCTTTGGCAACTTCATGGCCAAGATGGAAAATTAAGTCTAAAGGAGGCCTCTAAGAAAGAATACTGATACCCAGAAATTACCTTTTGTTGCGATCAGATTATGTGGCATAACCTCAGCCTGAGATGTATCATCTTCATACTGAATCATATGTGGAATTACCATGCCCCCTTGCTATTAATACATACTGTATCATTATTAGCAAATAAATTGAACAATGAATAACTTCCATTATTCCTCACTTTAGAGTGGAGTGTATGGTAGCTTGTTAATTCGTCACTGCAGTCCATCCTGGCTGTTTACAAAGGGCAGGATGTTTTCTTTCTGTTCTAGATTTAGAGGCTTCCCACACTGTACCCTGAGCCCCAAAACTACATCTGGTGCCTAATGGCATGACTCCATTTTTTTGCACCACCAGCTGAAGAACTGGTCTGGAAAATCAGCACTGACATTTATGAGTGGCTCTCCACAGCAGGCAGTATTTACTGCAGAGACCCCAGACAGCTCAGACCTCCGACTGTGTCCCTCATTTTTGCTGTTCTTTTGTCTCTTTTTCAGACAAAACGGGTGTGGTTTCAGGTTTTATAGCAAATGGTCTGCATATGTATTTTGTGGAGCATTAATCGGTGCTGTGCAATGGGAGCCTACTTGCCAGACTCCCGTGTTATGGGGAGTTACAGGATTATATCACTGATGTTTTGAGCAGTGGCATCATAAGCCTTGTGATCGTTTGGGAAACAAGCACTGTAAGTCTGTATCTCTTAAAAAGTAAAAACTCACAGAAAGGTTAGAAAAACTGAACTCTTGGAAAAGGTTAGTCACTCACTATTTTAGAAAGTTACGGCAGGCACACCTACATGCTGACTGTAAGAATAATAGTTTGCCTTTCAGTGGAAATACATCTACAGACTCTTGCTATCTGCTTCATGTGTACTTCCAACACAACTTACCAAATGGTAAGTGTATTGTTGAACCACCTTTTAATTAAACACTTAAAAATCCGGATAAAACAACCGTCTTTGTTTAGATTGGCAAGGACATGCCTGTAGGCCTCCAAAGCATCCCCAGTGCTCACAGAGCTGCCTGCAGGATTTCCAGATTGTGTTGCCTGGCTGCTATCATGTGCAATGGGAACAACATCCTGACATTAAAAGAAAGGGATCAAATCCTGGGATGGAGATGGAGTCAGAGCAGATGGCGTGATGCAGACCCCTCGTGACGAAGAGCAAAATCCTACAGTAGACCACGGGTAGCTCACTGGCAAACCAGTCCAGGACACCCATCTTAGAGCTACATATTTTCTCAAGACAAGCTCAGAGCTTTCAAAGAGCTTTGGAAAACCTGGATTGTGCAATCCTGAAGAAGAAAAGGAGAATGAAGGATGGAGACACCTTACTGCTGCTGTATTGGGATGGGTGGCTCTGCTACTTGCAGGGCCTCCCTACCCCAAGGGCAGCAGTCATCCCATGGAGTCTTCCTGCTGGAAGACAAGGACCAGACCACCAGCAGAGGCAAAACAGACAGCGGACCCATGGTAGTGTCTCTGCTGCTCACTGCCTGCTACGTAGTCTGGCCTTGCTACTGGGAACCAGGAAGACCGGAGTGAGGCCAGAGTTTTAGGATCTGGTTCTCAGTTCAGACCATGACAAGGGGTGGGCCCAGTACAACCGAAATGCTCAGGGAAGCTGGGCAACTCTGCGTCCGTACCATGAGAGACATTGATGTGAGGCTCAGCCAGACCTCCAAGGCTTCAGCTGAACGTGCTGTCTGTTTGCCATTTAAGCACCTGGATGCATGGACAAGATGTCCCTGATGAGTCTGTGTATGTACAAGTTGGTGATTTTGGGAACTTTGTCCCTTTGTTCAAATTAGGAGTTCTTTTAAAGTCAGTTATCAGTCAAGTCTCGTTACCTTATTACAGCACTCTGAGGACTGCTCTGAAAGTAGAAGCTTGATTTTTCCTGAAATATAGAGATATACGTGTGCTTATCTTTTACTAAGAAATACACATCTGTCTGAGAAGCTACACTGTAATGTGGGATGTGAGGGTGAGAAAAGTTTTAAAAGTAAAACTAGGAAACTCATATTTCACTGTTCTTGATCAAGGTATTTCCCCTGATATTAAATTGGTTTTAGTGAGCACATGAAAAATGCTTTTGAAGGATGTGTTTTACAACACTTGTATTGTGAGTCTTAAGGGAAGATTGACAGAGGTTGGGACAGCACAGCACCAACTGTACTGAACTCCTTCATTCCCCACACTTTCCACATTCAGAAAAGTCCATGCTGGGTACCTCAAATGCCACGTTTTTTAAACAGCCTACAGAAACACAGGGACCATCAGGGATTTAGGCTTTTATCTGCAAACTCTTCTTGCTCAGGCTGTTTCTTACACCAGCTAAGATCTAATTTTAAAATAAATTTTTAGTTACAGATGCATTAAAGAAAACGAAAAAACACACTCTACCTTATATTATATGCTTGATGATCCCATGATCTTTTTCTGTGCCATCTTCTGAAGTTTTGATCACATCAGGGGAATGGCCCTGAGAATAGCCTCTGCTTACCTAAATTGTGGGTAAGTCAGAATGGCACCTCCTCCATCCAAAGGATTCAGTTAACTCATCTCTGAATTTTAAGTGCCTCCTGGTGTAACACAAGTGCTTAGTTTCCTATCTGGTCAGTGGAGGGAGCCTTCAGATATCTTCACAGCAGATCCTGCCTGCCTTTGGGACCTTAAGAAGATTTGGTGCTACCATGGAGGCTCACAGTGGGCTGTGGCTAGTCCTTGGGCTTCACTGGGACCTTGCTGGCCATCAGAAAGATAAGCCCTTTCATGAGTGACAGGCAACCCAGTCAGGGATGCCATCCAGAGGGACCTTGACAGGCTGGAGAGGTGGGCCTGTGAGAACCTCATGAAGTTCAACAAGGCCAAGTGCAAGGTCCTGCACGTGGATCAGGGCAATCCCAAGCACAAGTACAGGCTGGGTGGAGAATGGATTGAGAGCAGCCCTGAGGAAAAGGACTTGGGAGTGCTGGTGGATGAGAAGCTCAACATGAGCCGGCAATGTGCGCTGGCAGCCCAGAAAGCCAATCGTATCCTGGGCTGCATCAAAAGGAGCGTGGCCAGCAGGTCGAGGGAAGTGATTCTACCCCTCTACTCTGCTCTCATGAGATCCCATCTGGAATACTGTGTTCAACTCTGGAGTCCCCAACACAAGAAGGACATGGAGCTGCTGGAGCGAGTCCAGAGGAGGACCACGAAGATGATCCGAGGGCTGGAACACCTCTGCTATGAAGACAGGCTGAGAGAGTTGGGGCTGTTCAGCCTGGAGAAGGGAAGGCTCCAGGGTGATCTTATAGCAGCCTTCCAGTACTTAAAGGGGGCCTACAGGAAAGCTGGAGAGGGACTTTTTACAAGGGCGTGTAGTGATAGGACAGGGGGCAATGGATTTAAACTGAAAGAGGGCAGATTTAGACTAGATATAAGGAAGAAATTTTTCACTCAGAGGGTGGTGAGGCAGTGGAACAGGTTGCCCAGAGAAGTTGTAGATGCCGCATCCCTGGAAGTGTTCAAGGCGAGGTTGGATGAGGCTTTGGGCCACCTGGTGTAGTGGAGGGTTCCCTGCCCATGACAAGGGGGTTGGAACTAGATGATCTTTGAGGTCCCTTCCAACTCTAACCATTCTATGATTCTATGATTCTATGTGGCAGC